AAAAAAAAAAAAAAAAGAACCAAATAGATGTTCCTATAGCTTTTCTTTCTATTAAGCTTCCAACAAAGTGATAATGAAGTTAGGTAATTCTTTTCCTAAGGTATGAGTACAATTTTGTTGTATACAAAGTGAGACAATAGGAAACATTTTTTTAATGAACAAAAAACTTTCACAAAAACTGTCTATATTACATTGCTATTACAACATAGATGAGCTGAAACTTTTTATACAGACTTGGAAGAAGGGAACCCCTAAAAAGAAATCAAGCATATAGAGGTAGTTGAATAGCAATATAGGGGAGCAATATCTTAATTTCCCTTCATTACAGTGCAAGAGTAAAATGACTGCTTGACAAACAAATGGAAAACAAGCACACAACCAAAGATGCCACTGTTTAGGTAGCTTGCTTGACATTTTAATCCTGGCATTACTGCGAACTGCATTCAATGACAAAATTAGTTTACCTAAAGTAAGCTTATGGTGCCATGTTAAGCTACTTGCTCTCTTTTTATTTCACTGTTGTTTATTATCATTGCTTTAACAATAAATGATTAACCAAATTTTAAAATGATGCATAATCTACAGTGTTGCTTTGTAAACTTCAGTTAATCACATTTGCTTCGGAAAGTTTTTTAAACAGCTACAGAGTCATGAATAGCAAAGCTTTAAGGTAACACCAGGAACAGAGATTACAGGCACTTCTCTCTGGAGGTTAATTTAACACGTTTGAAAATACCCACTTGTAAGTGAAAAACCTCTTCACCTCACATCTGGATGTGCATAATCCAGATTAGTAAAGTTACACTGTGATAAGTGGAGCTATCACTCTAAAATGGGTTGAATGCATACATTTTACATGGCTCCTTTACCTTCCTTTTCTCTGCACTTAGGAACGCGACAAAATGGATCCCACGCAGCTGGCTGCTTTTCAGAATTGTCTTTAATCTTGAACTAAAATCTCACTTGTCACGCCCAAGAGCAGGCTGAGAACTGGCTCTTTTTCAGTATTTGGGCAGCCAAAGACTGCCATATTAGTCATATACCTCTGCTATGATTCTGCCTTGGTGAGTAGAAATGGATGCAAAGTCAAAAGGCTGGGAACTTGAGGAAGGAGTCCCTGAATAAAATACTCCTGTTGGAAATGGAGTTGGCAGGGGAAACACAGTCCCCAGTGGATTGCAGTCCATCAACAGTATGCAACCTGTTGATAGTAAGAGACCTCTGGGTGCTGTGAACTGCCCTCAGGAGCTCTGCTGCTCCTGCGGCCAGTCACAGGGGATTATCTGAGCCCAGGCCAGCTCCACCGGCAGAGCTGGAAGAGCCACATGTGCAATGACTTAACTTGACCCAGCTGCAGAAGGCAGCACTGGGCTAGAAGCAGTTGGCCCTCAGAAAAGGCTGTTGAAATAGTCAGTCCTATGACCTATTAAGTCAGGACTATGACCTCTTGTTTGCAAGTTATGTATAGAAAATTAATTTCTTCATTTTTCATTTTCTACATTTTGCTGGTTATTAGCTAGCAGCAGTAGTGCAGTACAAAGCAGAAAGGCATGATGTCTGTTGGCAACCTGGCACATGTATGTGGGTGTATATGCATACACATATGTACACATACATACAGAAAATAACCTACCAGAAAAATACTGAGTCAGTCACAACGGACAGGAAAACCAAGCCAACAAGTGGCACTATCTACCCAGGGGGAAGTCTTGTTTTTCTAGGCTAGATTTAGACTTATGTCTTTTCTCTATACATTCTTCCTTCATTTCTGAGCTGGGCAGCAAAACCACGTTACAAGTGGTAAAAATGGTCAAGTCCAATTGATGATTCTGTTCAAGTAAACCCAAAGACAGCCAAGGTTTAGCCCACCTACTGCCATTACATAAGTTTAGCATAAAACAACCCAACTATGTATCTAGGCTACTGAAAGCAAAGTGCAATTCTGCCTAACCAGGACGTATGCATGCTGGAGTTGAGTGCTCCCAGATTGAGGGGCATTCTATGATATGAAACATTATTAAGAAATCAAACTATCTTTTTTGACTTAGTATAGAAGTGCTGGATAAGTGAATTTAACTTTATTTGCATCTTCCCATTTGGAGCTTCTTGGGGTGCTTTTGTGATTGACTGCCATGTCTGTTAAACAAAATATTGTGTAACACAATAAAGATTTAAAATTTTAAAATAAGATTTAAATTTTTTTAAATATGCAAAGTGATACATTCAAAATCAAGTTTGACTACTTACTAGATGACCATGTTACCTGGGCAAAGTACTCATCATTGCTGAGCCTGTTTTCTCATCCATTATATGGGGATAGTAATTACTTTCTAAGAAATAAATGACTTAAACTCAGGTATGAGAGATCATCTTGCTTCATATATGGTACATGGCAGGATCTCAATACATTTTTTTGTATTTGTTACTTTGGGCAGCATAAAGAAATATAATTCACCATTTATGAACTGAGCACAAAATTCACAGATCATAAAATCCAATCATCCTGGTATGGGTGAGATCCTTAATACATTTTGGAGAACCAAGATTGGTGACTTTGTTATTCTAACAAAGTTAGAATTTAAGGCTTCCATTTTATCAGAGAAGCTAGATTTCCAAGGAACCCTGCTTTTTAGCAGTTATTGAAACAGGAAACCATTTGTTGGCATAGTACTAATCCCTACCTCTGACCCTCATTTGTTCTCTTTTCACTTTCCCAAACAGAATAAATCCCCAAAGGAATCACCTGTAAGCCATCAAGTTATGGTCAAAATTCAGTGGTGCAGATTCCTCCAACCAAGTTTAAAGGGGTTGCAAGTGGGTGCTGTGTGTAAATGCAATGTGTGATGCAAATATAGCTTTTGAGGATATTCTGTAACTATGACCAACTCTGATTTGTTGAATATCTCCTCTAGTCAAGCTGCCATGCTACAGGATTTCAGGCATATTTCACTTAACGTTCATAACAACCCTATATGCAATATTTATCATTACTATTTCATTGATGAGGAAACTGGCTCAGCCAAAGTTAAATCACTTGTCAAAGCAACACATTTAGTAAATGGAGAAGCTTACAAGCTTTCCTTTGTTGTTTTTACACTACAGAATAAGAAATTGTTGTACCAAGACTATGTACACATAGTTGAGCATGGGGGAAGGGGCTCTAATTTACTGTACTCTGAGCCTTGTAGAGTTTTCCTCGGCAGACAGGTCTTTCCACTCTATCTACTCTACTTGCATTCTTTCCCAGCCCAGTATACTCCAAGCATCAAACCTGCTAACACAACATCCACTAAGAAGTGAGAAGAAAATGTGCTTTCTGCTTACACGAGTCTCTTAAATATTATCTGGATCATCTCATTTGCCCATTACTATTTCTGGCCACTGGTGGTATAGAAGTCAGGCTACAGTAAGACCCCAACTTACGAAAATTCAAGTTGCAAACTTTGATAGGTATACTGTATGAGACTCATTTTGTCGGCTTATGAACGAATCCAACTTAGGAATAATTCTTGAACAGAACTCATTCATAAGTCAGGGAGTTACTGTAATCATTCCAGGCATGACCTTAACAGAGTGGGCTGGCTTCCAGTAAATAACACGCTGTCCAGAATCACACAAGGGAGGGTAATCTACATGAAGGCACAAGTGCCACAACTCACTTCTTCTGGCCCTAATCTTTTCACTGACATTATGACTCTCTTATACTCATGGTATTTTTTAGGTTCTTTAGATATGAAAGGAATCAAACCAGTACTAATCAAGCTAAGTAATGTTACTTTTACTTTCTTTTTCTTCTCTTATATTGAAATCTTTGGCCCACTGAAGCTAGAAGAAAAGGCAAGGTTTTGATGAAACCATAGATGTCTGGTTATTTTAAATTACTGTGTTTTAAAGGGTTCTACCTATCTGGTGCAGTTGTAATAACAAATAGACCTTCATCAAGTGTTTTAGCACAGGTCTTCATCCTCAGAACATCGAGAACATGTGGAGTGTGTGGGCTAGCTTGGAATGGCTGTGACCTATTATACTTTTGAAACCCATCACTTCTAGTCAGATTACTGAAATAAATGCCCATAATAGGTTGTAATTAAAGACACCCTTTGCTTATTGCTCTAGAACAACAATTCTTTCCACCTCGGTCTGTATTACACAAAGAAAATGGATTATTTTACTTTACCTTGGCATAAAGCATAATCTATGCTGAATCATTGAAGTATTTTGTGTTGTTTAATTAAAATTAGAAAAGTTGAATCTGAAGATGGATGATCTTAGCATCATTCTGAAGTCCTTTTAAACTTCTACTAGGATAGACATAGAAACAGTTCAAGAAATGGGATCAATGTAGTAAAAACCTTTTGACCAAAAATTGCACATTTCTAGTATTGTGATTCCCCCTAGGTACATGGTAAACCACATCAATAAATAAAGCAATGGATTTTTCAGTAATGTATGTACACTTAAATAGTTACAAACATACATGTAGAAAAAGGATACAGTAGTGCAAAAAATAAATTATTAAAACAGAAAGAAGTATGAACATTACTTTACACAATGCTCTATAAAACCTGAACCATTTGGAATGAGAACTCAAGTCAGTGAAATAATGCAGCAACATTATTAGTATCTTTGCTTCACATTTCAACCACACAGTCATTCACCTACAAAAGAGAGGAAAAACTAAAGAAAAGTCATGTTAAACTTCCAGAAAATCTTATGTGAAAATCACGGGTTTTTTTCTAGGCTTTTAAACACCTCTGCAGTCTATGTAGTTGTGCAGCATGTCAAGAAGCATCTTAAAATAGCAAGTTTCAAACAAGTAACATTCATTTGGTCTTTCTACTCGATTTCTCTGTGTGATCAAAAATAGGAAAACACACCTCTTTTTGATAACCTGTTCTGTTAAGATGTTATTGCAATTAGATATATTTACAAGTCAATCTCCCCAAGGCAGCAGGGAGGGTGGGAATTTCTCTTCAGCAACCCACTCTCACTAGTTTTGGTTTCGGGATATAAAAGCCAGGACTCGTCGAATACCATTCAGTCTATCTTTTAAGGACCTCATTGCAAGAAACGGGAGCTGAGCTCGACTTTCCAAAGGAAGAACAGCTAATATCCACCAGCACCAGGCTGGGCCATTCGGGTTAATCTGAAACAGAGAAACACAGTGGGTTCATCCTATTCCCACAAAATCCGTAACAGTCTGATGTTTTCCAAATGCCCAAAGTATATACCATAGATGTAACTGCTTCTCTGTGTGATAGAGACTATTAACTGCCTTTGTATCTATTTCCCCTTTATTCTAGCAGGGCATATAGCCATGGTGGGGGTGGGGCAAGGGCACTTTATTTTCCAGCCTTCTTACAGCTAGGTGAGGACATAAGACAAAAGTTTTGGTTAATGAGATGTAAAGGGAAGATGTGACGTGTAATTTCTAGGTATGTTCTAGGAAAGTAGCATATGGCTTGGCCTTCTTTCTCTCCTTTTCCCTACCTAGATCAGGGACATGGTGATGATCAGCCTTCTTCAGTTAAGAAGACAAAGGCAATATTCTATGGGCACTAGAGCTTTGTGATAAAGGAGCCTGGTTTCTTGAATATTCTCATAAAATATAGCTGCCCTAGTCCTGCAGAACTTAGGCCCTTTATCTTATTTGAACCGCAATAATTTTTAATACTCATTAAAGAAAACAAACCAATATCCTAATAAACCATGCCCACTATCCAGTGTTATTTTATGAGCTGAAATATCCACTACTTAGTTTCTCCCACTTCTGGGACTCTGTTTAGATCCTTTGAACTCATGTACACTTCTTCAGGCCTTTAATTGCCACAACTCCTCAGGCTTTGCATTCTCCTAACTCCTTTCATTGTCTTGCTCTGGCTAAAGGCAAAAGTCCAGATATACCAGGGCACTATGTACAGCCTCTACTATCTTCTCCTCTGCAACAAGGAGCTCTGATTTATAGTCTCAAAGAACAGTAACCTCACACTGCAAAATTTCCAATTAGAAAACACATTCGTGGTAGCTCCCAGGTTTTCCTTAAAGAGCTTTGTCACCCCATATAAATCCTTTGCCAAAATTTTATGTGTAATTAACCTTCTGAACATACATTTTAGGCATTGATGACTTGTTTCTTACTAAAACTGAAATGCATTTTCTTCCCACAACTTTCAGAAAGTTGACTTTAGGACTGTAGAGAACCATGTTCTATTTGAAACTCCTATACCTAGGATTATTTCACTCCAAATTGGTAAGTCTGATTCTCCCCAAATCTCATTGCCTTCTTTTGTTTTCTGTGCCTCTTTAATTTCATCTGGACTTTTTTTTGGCCCCTCACAGCAATCTGTAACATGTTCTTCCTCTGTGATCATTTCTGGATGTTAGACTGACATTCTGAACTTCCCCAGAATCATCAACAAAGATATTTAATACATGTGGTGGTTTCTGAGAAACTTCCTCCTTAGCTTGTTCTTATTCATGGGACTGCTAGGGCTGGAGCTTTGGCCATAGCAAGCCGTATTGGTTTCAGTTTTTTTTTTTTTCTGGTGCTGCCACCACCAAAACTACATGATAACAAACTGTAACAAGAAAGGAAATGAAACCCAAGATTTCAGCTTTCTATATCATTAAGTCCTTATGAATCCGTGTGGCATCTGTGTTTTCTCCTGTGGAAGACACAGTTAGCACTGGTAATCTCCCTTTTGCCTGACTGGGGGAAAATACTTCCCAGCAGGTAAAGAGGAACATTAAGCTTGATCACAAGCTTGCTCAGAACTATGCTGTAGTCCTGAGTCACCATGGCCCAGAGCCAGGAGCTGGGTAATTGGGAAGTACTCCCTGATCTTTCTCCTTTCAAAAGTCATAATGCCTTTGCACAGTAAGATAGGGGCCACTTCCGTGGCCTAGAGAAAAGCAAGACATTTCAGCCCTTTAGGGATGAGACAGGTGCTTTGGCGCCTCAATATCCAAGAAGAGGGGACTTTAGAGACCTTGCCATCCACTTCTCTCATTTTAAAAAAATGGGAGAAAAAGGAAGGGATTTACCCAACCAAGGTCATGTTGTTAGGAAGGTAAGCAAAACCAGTCTATCAGTAGAGAAGCCAGAATATAATGGATTCATATTTCCCTATTGTGACAGAGTCAGGAATGAGCCTAAGTAAAGAATCGAAGAAGGCATAGGAGTGATGATGTAGGAGAGCTATCTCAGGGTATGGGAAATGGTGGCAGTAAAGAAATATTGCTTCAGGATATCTCCAGTTTTGTCTTAGGAAGCAAGTCTTTCCAAAGCTGGAATTCCCTGAAAGTATACCAAGCAAATAAAGACAGGTGAAACATAACTCCCTCCACTTTCCTAGAGAGCTTGTGACTGAAGCTTGATCTCATATGTGGGCCTATTCCCAAGGAAGGTCTATCCGGTGAAATTCAATGAACTATTCTCTGGGATAGTTCAGTGAAGGGTAAATTTAAAGATGGGTTCAGTTTTCTCAAGACCTTTTCACCCCAGATGTGGACAACAGCAAGGGTCTAGACTCGGGGGGCTGAGCTGGATGTGCCTGAGTGTGACAAGTTCCTGTGGCTTTGCAGTTGTAGTGTACCTGACCCTATCTCCTAGCTGTTGCTTGCATCTTGTAACCCTAATGATACCATGCTGTGAATGTGTACTCTCACTGAAGGTTCTTCAGCTGCTAGTGCCTATGTTCCATTCCCTCACCTTGCTTATCTCTCAACATGTGCCTTGGATCAAAGTGCCCACACCATACTTCTGGTATTCCAGTTTTAACTTAGAATCCTTTTGTTCTTTTCCACGATGCTCACTGGCCAGGCAAACAATACCACTTTGGACTCACATTCTTCTCTGCACTTATTGCTGGATTAAAAACCACACACCCATCTACTCACAAATTTTAGGAACTCCCATCTGGTGGCGTAGTCCAGTATAAAGAGACATTTTATGTACCTGGGGATCAGCATCTTTCTCTGGCATTGGACCAAAGTGATTGAGTATTCGATTCTTCAGAGACGATTTGAGTGAGTGAAACCACAATGACGCTTGCTCGTAGACACAATTATGTAATCCCATGAGCTCAGCACAATCCTCTCCCTGAACCTGAAAGTATCACAGTGGAAGTGAATCCTTCTGTGTTGTCCGTTCCTCCCAGAGTTGCTTGTGACACCTGACTCTCTTTCAGCATCCATTCTGCCTTTCTACAAGACGCCTAACCCACCTAGCTTCCTTCTACATACACGTGAAACACTCCACAGCCAGGTACTGGACTGTGAATAAGCATGGCTGAGCGGGAGGAAGGCAAAGTGTTTGACTGGCTAGAGTTGCTGAAACAGGAAGATACACAGAAAGCCAGAGACTCAAAGAGGCCTGAGATGAGGTTTGTGTTAAAGCAGGTAATGATGGCTCATGCCTCTATCCTATTCATTTTCTTTTTTAGTACAGGGAATCAAACTCAGGACCTTGCACTTGCAAGGCAGGCATTGGAACAACTGAGCTAAATCCCCAGCCCTTGTCCTATTCATTTTTATATCTATTTTTCCATTGTTCTCTGGGAAGAGATACATGAAAGTATCTGTGTCTCAGTGTTTAACTGACTTCAAAGTCAAATAGTTTTTTTGGTTGATCAAATATTTATTAATAGGTGACTCAGTGAATGTAAATATAAATGAACATGGGATTCTTTTTTAAAATTTTATTTAATTTAGGTTTATTGGACAGTGTTGCCTTAGAGCACATTAATCCCACACATATCAGAAGACCCTGGGATTACTGACCTCTTCTAACTATTAGCTCAGAAAACCAAGGATTAACTGGACATGTCATTTTTCTGTTTTGGGGGACGATAGATGATTCTGCTTTAGGAAAAGTGCTACCTAGTCAAGTTGCATATTTAAAACTACAAATACATGTATGACTCTACAATGCTATCAAAAGAAACAAGTTTGAAAATGTAATTAAAAATAAATAGACAGATGAAATACACATGTGTAGACACCTCTCTGATCTACCCCTTGGTGTCCTGAGCAAAGGTGGAACTCTTAGGCTGCCTGGGCCCCAGGGTTGCTCTGGCATAGCATTTCTTATGCATGACGGCTACTTAGCAGCTAAGCAGAGAGAGCCAGGACAATGGGTGCTCTCCCTGCGGTGCTGCAGCAGGAAAGCAATCCAGCAGCATTCAACGTTGCTGCAGGAGTTTGGTGAGAAATCTCAAGGCCCCAAGACAGTTCTGATAAATCCTCCTGCAGTGATCTTTGCATGCCAAGTTACAGGGAGAGACTGGCTTTGGGATTCTTGGCACTGGCCACTCTCACCTTTTGATCTTCAATGTATTCAATGTCGGCTGTGTTGTAGCCATCCCGTTGGCCCTGATGGAGCACCTTGAAGCGCCTCTTGCCTATGCTGTCAACCACTGAGCGACCATCAGCAAAGAATTGAACATTTCTGATCTCTAGCATGCAGCCATATTCTGCAAACCTGTTCATTGAGAATAAAGTCAAGAAAGTAGATCTTTGATAAGTTTTATCTTCTGAGTGCAGAACCCCAGCCATTTATATAACCGTATGGTACATCTCAAAAGACTTCTGCCTATTTACCTGCCCCTGGGTGTACAGTTAGAACTAAAGAATAAGGAGCACCTATACAGTGTAGAAAGAAAATCTCAATGCAACCATTTCCTGAGCACATACTATGTTCCAGGGATATGGTATGAATGTGCACCTCAAAACTCATGTTGGATGAATTGTCATTGTAACAGTGTTAAGAGTGGTGACCACTAAGCAAGGATTAGTCCCTGAGGGCTCTGTCCTCAAACTGGATTAATGCTGTTTTACAGGACTGCATTTATTATAAATGGACAGGTTGGCCCTCCTCTCTCTTGCTCTGCTGTTTCCCTTCTGCTATGTTATGACACATCAGGAAGTCTCCTACCAGATGCTGGTATCTTGATCTTGGACTTGTCAGCTTCCAGAATCAGGACAAACAAATTTCTATTGTTTATAAATTACTCAGCCCATGGTATTCTGTTAGAGTATCCCAAATGGACTCTGCCAGCCAGCGAGTGCATTTAGTGTTTTTTTGTGCATTAACTCAGAAGCTAAGCAGAGAGAGCCAGGACAATGTGTGCTCTCACTGCCATGCTGCAATAGGACAGCAATCGATGCCCCACAACAAGCAAACTCAATGAGGTCAGCACTATCACCATACCCACTTAAAAGACAAGAAAACTAAAAGCAGAAAGGTTAAGTAACTTGCCCCAAGTCAAACTCGCTCCAAGGCTAGAGCTAGAATATGAGCCTGGGCAGTTTGACTCCAGGGCCCACACTCCTAGAAAACACGTTTTATAATATATATCACCTGCTTCACAAAAGGTTGCATATTTCATTTACACAGATAGCCTCTCATACAGTAAACGAGGCACCAGAGGGACTGGGATCTCTACAAGTGTTCTTGTTCTTAAACTGGCTAAACCACATAAGCTCCCCACCTCTGTGAGTGCCTCAAGGAGAGGAAATCCCTCTCTACCCATGGCCCCTTTACTCCCAGGGCTCTTCACTTACCCTTTGACGGGATCTCCAAGGCACATCCCAAACTGTCTCGTGCCTGTCTCAATGCATCTCCGAATCATCAGGCGGTAGCAAGGCTCAAAGATGTGCAGAGGACAAGGAACGGTTGGATAGGCCATGGTACACACGAAAATAGGCACATTCTTATTTAAGCTGTCAAGAAGAGCAAATGAGATGGATCTCAAAGAAATGGGGCAAAGTACAGAAAGGCTGGTTAAACATCACCATGTAGCTCCCCACCACCACCCCGAGTAAAGACCGGGGGCCATCAGATTCTGATGGCAGAGAGAGAAACACTGACATGCGACTGATGTCACAAGCTGAGTCTCATTATCTGGAGCAGAGGCCAATCTGAGGTCTAAGAGACTGACACAGGCATTGCACATATTCTCCTTTGGCTGAAGAAGTTTTTTAGTACCTTAACATTGTGGGAGATAGCTATGCTGCATATTTTTTTCTTTCTTTCAAGTATGCACTCAAAATGATTTCTCTGTTGAAGAAGGAATATAAAGATGGTATAAGTGCACACAGCTCTCCAGAGCTGGAGTGAGAAATTCTTTGCAAGTCTTCATGAACTTCTCAAATTTGCAAAGGCCCCCAGAGTATGTGCATAGCAAGCTCAGGCAGGAGAAGAAGCAAGCAGAAGAGAGGCAAGAGTAATCTAGCCTAGTGATACTCAAGTGCTCCTGTACATCACAGTCACCAGGGACTTTTAAATCTCAATGGCTGGGCCATCATAGCCCCAAATATAATGACATATTAGCCCTGGAATTAGGACCCAAGAATCTGCCTTTCAAAAAGTACCCCCAAAGATTCAGACGTGTAGCCCACCAGGGAATCCCTAACTGTGCCAGGTTCTTGTGGGTCCTTGACTTATTTGTCCAGTAAATCTATATGCAGGCTGCATCTAAACCTACCCAAGAGATATAAGATTATTTGCCCAAATCACACCAAGGCCAGGTTTAGGATTCTTTTAAATAGAAATTTCCCTAGTATATTCCAGTATTTATTAATAAAACTTTAAGTGATATTTGAAGTATTTAAGTGATATTTGGGTTACCTCAATGTTAACCTGAGAACAAGAATGAAATGAAAAGATGTCCTGAATAACTCTAATATAAGTCAATGAGAAAATAAGGACTTTTAGTTTCTGAGGAAAACACTCAAAGTGAGAGGCACATTCAAATAAACTGATGGGAGTTTAGAAATATTCTCTACAAGGTAGGCATAAAACCAGAACAGCTTTTGTCATCAACACTGCACCTTTAGAATGCTGTGAGAATTCCACCGGGGATGCGGAGAGAGCAGGGCAGCAGCAAGAGGGGTAGAAACTCGTGATCATCCCCCACTCACTCCGCCAAGCGATCAAGCAGAGAGCTTGGAGCCTTGCATCTGTTACCATGCTTTCTATTACCTCTCATGTGTGCACAGCAGGCCAAGCATAGAACAAGTATAACAAGTGCAATTACCATTTAGGACACGCTCACCATGTACCAGCTCATCAGTTTTTCATAAGTCCATTGTGTAAGAACTGTTATCTCCAGGTTATAGGTGAGGAAACTGAGACTAAGAAAGGTGAAATGATCTGCCTAGGGTCATGAAGCCCTCTCATATTTCGATAGAACCTCTCAAACCCAGGCCTGACGTCACCAAAGACCTTGACCTCACAGAACCTCCTTATGTATTTTCAGGCAATCTGGATACATCATAAATTCTCCTGGTTAAACCTTTCCAATTTACTCCTGTCAGCAACATCCTCTGAGTAGTGCCAAAATGCATCCTGGTCAGTGTTTTGATTTATGCCTCTTCATTGGTGTGATGGTAAATGGTTAACTGTTATCTGGGGGAGGAAAAAAAGGCCCTAGTCTATAGCACTTGCTGATTTCCATGGTGTAAATACTCTCACCATGGCCAATTTCAAGGTACCAATGTGGTATCCCTGAAAGAGGAGCTGGAGAAAAATGTGTGTATTTACCTCTCATGATCTGGTATGGATGAAACTGAAAACAGAAGCATGCATGTACATATACATACTTAGAGAGTTCTTCCATTTCCTCTTCATAAAGCCTCCTCCGTTCCTTGAGTTCTTCTGGAAGGAATTTGGCTATTAGCTCTTCCATTATTACATTTTTGCTGTATTTTCTTGATGCCAAGCACTACGTACAGAACAAGGTAATTGGATATTATGCAGTCATCAGAAAAACACAAAGGACTTTTAATATAATCAGTAAAATAATCCAATGACTCACATACTGGAGCAATTTGGATCCATACTTTAGTAGTGATACTATCATATGAATTCTCTGAATGTTAGGATTTAGTTTTTCAAATTTAAAAAAATGCAAGTGATTACCTAATAATTAGAATAATTAGAAAAAATATTTTAACAGAGAAAGAACTTGAGTTGAAGTTTTTAAAACAGCACAGATTTCCTAAAACATTGAAATTGGAATCATTTTGTTATCTAAAAAAGAGGTGATCTTTGCTTCTCTTTTCTCTGTTTTGTTTACAAGCTCTTTGGTCTCTATTTGAAATATGTTAAAGTCAGTAGTCAAAAGGTTTGGGGAGCTAAAAACAAATGTTTTTTGAGCCTTTCATACTCTGCCTAGATCCCACTTCAACCCATGCTTGGATTCTGGATATTCCCAAGTCTATAGATTTTGTTCTAACTTTACTTTTAAAACACACAAACAGCTAACTACTGGTGACTGTTTTCGTCTATCTCCCTTTTTCATTTGCCATCTATGTAACCAAAATTATGTCATAATCACAATTTCAGAACAAGGGCAAGCTTCGTTGTCACTATTACTCTCCTCCCAAACATCCCTACTTCATGCTTACTTAGGAATGTGCAAGTTAGAGGTATTTGATGGTGTCAACCAAACCACCAAAGTTAGGGAATTGCTGTGGAAACTACCCCTATGGACCAACCAGGGAGAGCTCCTGAGGGTGAAACTGCTGGTGTCAGACAATTTTTTCTCCTTACCAGAACTGGTAATCCCTATTTTGCAATGGACATGATTGAAATACTTATCTCTGTATATAATGGTGTAAGTGTTATCCTGTAAGTGTGACAGAGAGAAGAAAGTATCTTCTAGCCCCTGATATTAGGACCATACAGTATCTGCATCCTGGATGCCTTAGCGGCCACCACTAGTAGCTACAAGAGAATCAACTGTGTTACTCAGTCAGTGCTCAGAAGGCAGCCAATCCAAGAAGGAGGTGATGCTACAACAAAACTCCAAGAAGGGAACATCCTAAAATGTCAACAGTGGTTTTATTTAGGTTCTGAGCATATGGGTAGACATCCCTTCTTTCTGATTATCTCAACTTTGTACTGTTATCACAGCATGGATATTTTATTTAAGTATAAGGACCATGGGCTTCTCACTTACAAACAGGTCATCAAATTCCACCTATTTATCTAGGGAAAGGGATGAGTTTGACCTTCTCCAAACACACACCCTCAAAGCTAACCTTGATGATTATTTCATTTCATTCCCTTACAGAAAATGTTTAGGGTTTGGTGAAAGCTTAATTTGTGACTTCTCTGGACCTACATACATGTAGAGATTGCCCCAGGTCTCCAACCTCTCTAAGGAATCGCAAAGGTCACAGAACATTAATACTGATTGTAAAATGTGGTGCACAAGGGAAAACAAGACAGATTCCTGGGTCGTCTTCTACCACAGTAAATTCTATCAGGCCCACTTGCAAAACAAAAGTAGGACTTGGTGTGATCAATTTTAGAGAACTTAGAGGCCCCAGAGCTTTTCAAGCAGCCAAACATATGCTAACTAGTATAGTGATTCCTGAGTGGTTAGATTTGGCTTGTGGGAAAACAGATTTTCGTACCAGAGAAGTAGGCTCATTGCTGTGGCTAAACCTGACCATACCTGACCATGTGGTTCAGGAGCCTTTGGAACTAGCTTGTGGGAAGGGTTTGGAAAGGTTTGGAGATGCTGGCTGTAGACACAGCCCTGGGATGCCTTAACATGTACTTGATGGGATGTTCTGGTCAGAGCTCAGAAGATCAGAATACTGACAGAAATGCTGCTGGTAAAAGCCAAGCTCAAGAGGTTTCTTTTGGAAAGAAGAACTTCATTGGCTTTTTGACTCCAGATCATATGTGTTATGCCTTGGCAGCAAATTTGCCTGCATTTTACTTATGTACAGAAACTTTGGCTGAGACTGATAATAAAGATGGAGGACTAATTAATCTTGCAGAAGAAATTTCAAGGCAGTCTAATGTTGAGGCCATGGCATGGCTACTGTTGGGGGCTTTTAGCCAGACTTATGTTGAGAATAAAGAGGAAAGAGCCCAACAGAATGATTTTAAATGTTGTGAATTTGGCCATAAAGGAAGCTCTGGTAAAGTTGCAGACTGCAAAGACAAAGCAGAGGAAAACGTGATAGCTGAGAAGGAACAGGACAATGGAAAAGATGGCCTGAGGATGTCATAAGAAACAGCACGACCCCAGCCTTTGCAGACTCACGGTTGCAAAAGTGAAAGAATTTGCTTTGAGAAATGAGCCCAGAGCACTATGATCCAGAATGGTGGCAGTCTAGAGAATTTGTTCCTCAGGATTGGGTTCAGAGTGCTCAGTGACCCAGGCACTCAACCCCTACAGCCAAGAGAGAAGGAAGCCTGGCTACTGCTCCAGCTGGTGGCAGACCTTGGCATCATCCATGTGGTGCTTGTTTTAGGTGCACACAGAATGCAGGAGTTGTGGAGTCAGGAAGGCTTCATCCAGATTTCTAAGGAAGACCTGGAAGGCCAGGCAGTGTGCCCCTGAGAAGGCACTGTGTGTAGCTGAAGATGCATCATAGGCTCCAGAAGGCTGGAGAAGCCAAGAACATGGATCATCTGAGGAAAACTGTAAGGAGGTGGCAGAGCCAGCCCAAGAGAAAAGCCATGGCAGCTATAACCACCAGTAGTGTCATAGGGGCAGAGCCACCCAAGCAAGCCCTTTGGAGTTCACATCTTGCCACAGATTGCTTTGGATGCTGCACATGGAACTACAGGACTTAATGTTTTCCCTGATGGATTTTGGACTTGCTTTGGTCCCATTACTTTCTACAGCCCTATTTGGAATGGGAATGTTCATCTTGTGCCATTGTATGCTTGAAGTGCTTAACTTTCTTTTCACTTGTACAGGAGCTTTCAGCTAAGAGTCTGCCCTAAATCTCAGAGGAGACTTTGGACTTGGACTTTTCAGCAATGCTGAAACCAATAGGACTTTGGCAACTCTTAAATGCTTTTTACATAAAGAGATGTACATGAGTCTCTTTGGGGGGCCAGAGGCAGAATGATATGACTTGCATCTATATGTCCCCCCAAAACCTCATGTGTTTTTAGGTGGGGCTTTTTAAAGATGGCTGCATCTAGAGTGTGTGGTGCTGGGATTAAGGTTGTGCGAGTATTAAATTAGTTCATTAATTGATTTGGCATAGCTCTGGGTGTGGATAATGGGAAGTCCCATCCTGGGTGTGAGTGCTACCCATCCTAAGGATGTGTAGCCTGGATAGAATATAATGGAGAAAAAGAGGGCTGGTGTCAATGTTTGCTGCTTCTTCACTACTTTGGTTTTTTGCTGTCTTCCTGCCTTCTGCCCACTATGAACTGTTTCTCCTTTGTCATGTGCTCTCCCCACCACACCACCATGCCACATTGCCTTGGAACCAGCCAACTATAAAGAAACCTCTACAAACTGTGAGCTATAATAAACCTTTCCTCCTTTAACTTTGGGTGCCAGGCATTTTGTCTCGGCAACGAGAAAAGTAACCTGGGGGGCGGTGCTTTGCTCTAGCACAGTGAAGTTACTTAGGATCCAGTCAAACTCTTAGTATTTAATTCTACAGTTAATGCCACTAAGAAATAAATATTGGTTTACCTGTGAGAGACCATCCTTGCACAATGGACATTTTGCATTGTGATCCAGGCATCTTTCAAGGCATTTTAAGCAAAAGGTGTGCCCACAAGGTGTTGTGACTGGCTCATAGAATAATCTGAAATTTAAGAATAGAAATGGAAGAAAATTGTAATAAGACAAAAAATAAGACAGAAGTACTCATGGTTAAGATTTCATAGAATTATTTGGAAAAAATCTGCATGTAAAGAATTCTTTTAGTTTTTAATCATGGCTATTGCTGCACATCAGAAAATCATTTGCTTTTTATTTCTGAGCAGATTAAAAGTAATTCATTTGTTAAAGATCATTTTGCAATATTAGTCCTAGTCTATCTCTTTTGGGGCACCCAATGTTTTTCCCTGTCTGGTCCAGGAAAAATTGAAATTAATTCCAGAGTGAATAGATTCCATACAAAAACATTTAGCGAACTTGTTCACCTGATTATGTGTAAACATACACATAAATACATACATACACACACATAAGCACCTTACATCAGATGACCCTGGGAAAAACTTGACTTCTTTGCTAATCTTCATTTCTTTTTTTCACTTAAGCAGCATTTACTGCCTGATATATCTTGAAACTGCATCTCTAACAAGTATAGCTTTTATATGGTTAGATAATTTCCTTAGAGGTTACAGGGTAATATTGTTAATCCACTTACTGATATAGATAGATGAATAAATACAGATATATGATGATATACACACATATATACTATATATTACATATACACATACTGCAATTCATTTAGCTCTTACTTTAATTGCTTTGGAAGAGCAGGATATTTTCAATATAGTCTTCGAATCCTTTATTAAAGCTGTTCTGCCTCTTTAGAGATACATGGATTTAGTTTGCATAAAGAAAGGTTCACCAGCAGCAGGACCAGTGGGTGTGGGTGACTAACAATGATGATTAAGAAGTGGGAATAGTATTCACTAAGAGGAGGAGCACAGGAAGAAGAGACACATGATCAACCTATTTTGACCTCTCAGGAGTGTTCAGTTGAGGGAAAGAGATCGGCAGCTACACAGCTCATGTGGCCAGGAGGTGCACCAGCAGTCTAGCCCACCCTGCCAGGCTGAGCACAAGAATCAAAATGGCAGAGCTCAAAAGTTCTTGAGAAGAAACTGAATCCATCAACTAGAATAAAACTGAGTTTCAGAGGTAGTAAAGATGCTTATCTAAGTATACACAATGGTTAACAGATGACACTCTCTACGATTTTCACCTCCACTCGTGCTATTTTTATTACACAATGATCCTCAATCATGAGTGTACATAAGAAACACCAGGGGCATTTCTTTAACAGCTTTTTTGATGCATAATTGACATACAACAAATTGAGCATACTTAAAGCATACAACTTGATGTTTTGATATATGCACACACCCATGAAACCCACCACAATCAAGATTGTGAACCTACACACCTACCACTCCCAGTTGTTTCCTCCTTCCCCTCCTTACACCACTCCTTCTCACCTGGAGAGATTTTTTAAACTGCAGATACCCAAGAATGCATCTACAGAGATCCAGATTAGTAGGTCTAAGGTCCAGGCCAAGCATAAAGAGTTTTTTGAGCTCCCAGTTGGTTTTAACACATATCCAGGCTTGAGATTCACTGTATTACACAATCCTACCAACGTCTGTGTAGGCAAACCTTCTGTAACAGTCTTCAGACATAATTATCAGTCATCCATGGAGCTTTGAAAACATTTGCACAGTGAAGCTCCACTGGCTGAAGTTCCAGATTCAGCAAGTCAAGGGGATAGACAGACATTTGATCGTTTTAACATGCCCATGAAATTCCAGAATAGCAGAAAGAACTTGTACATATTCAATGTTTTTTTGTACTTTTTGAATTTTACAGTTTCTTTAGAAAGTAGTTAATTTGTCAAACAAAATTAATACATCTGACTTATTAAATTGGCCAACAAGTAAATTTTCAAAAAGAAAAAAAAAATTTTATGTTAGAGGTCCTAACCAGTGCACTAAGGCAAGAAGACGACAAACCTGAGTATCGGAAAGGAAAGAGACAAATATGTCATTATTCTCAATGGTATAATGATGAGTAATGAATTTAGAAAACAGAAGAATCTACAGAGTGACTGTTAGAATTAAGAATCAAATTAGTAAGATTGCTAGATATATACTACAGTTGCAGATCTATATAGTTATACCAATATGTTTAAAATACAGTTTTAAAGAAGAATGACCTTTATAATTTCTTTTCAAAATCAAGTACCCAGGAATCTAATAAATCTAATAAAAGTTGTGTGAGATCTCTTGGAAGAAAAAGAAGCCCCATAAACATCCCATTGAAAAAATGTAAAGAAGCCCTAATAAGTCCCAACAAAAATTCCAATGGTGATTTCATTTGTTTTGGAGGAACTTGACAAATTGTTTTATAAACACAATAACGAAATACAAAGGACTAAGACACATTTGAAGAACAACAACGTAGAAGGACTTGATCCAACAGACAACAGAACTTATTACAATTTAGGAATAGACTCATAAATGGACTTTTTACTTATAACAAGGCACTTTAAAGCAGGGAATGGGGGGAGGGGCAGGAAATTTTTTGGATTTGTTTGTTTTTGCTACTTAAGTAGCATGCTCAGTAAATGGTATATTGGTTATCTAGAGGAAGAAATTAATTTGTTCCATTTCTCACAATGTACACAAAAGTGAATTGCATTAGGCTGTAAAAATAAATGTGAAAGGTAAAATAATACAGCTTTCGGAAGATATAATAAGAAAATAACTTTATGACCTCAAGATAAAAACCATGTTAAACAAGACACAAAGAAACACTATAAATGAAAGACTACTAATTTTGACTGCACTAATATTAAGAATTTTTAGGTTCATCAAAAGATGTCATTGAGGAAGCAAACAGGCAAGCCACATAGGAGAAAGTATTTGTAATACATATGATTGAAAAAAAAGACTTGTGTCTATAACAGAATTGCAGATCCTTCAAGTAAGTAAGAAAGAGAGAGAACCCAATAGAAAATGAGTAAACACTGATGGATATAAAAAACAGTGTTTAGCCAGGCATGCTAGTGCATGCCTGTAATCTCACATTCTGGGAGGCCAAAGCAGGATGATCACAATTTTGAGTCCTTCCTGGGCAACTCAGCGACTTAGCAAGAACTTGTCTCTAAAAAATAATGGCTGAGGATGTAGCTCATTATGAAGGCCCCGAGTTCAATCCCCAGCACAGGAAAAAAGAAGAAAAACAAAGACATTGTGCATAGCAATATTGTCCAGAACATCACCAAACTAGTGCCATCCTAAGCACCCAGCTATAACAGAATTAATAAAGAAATGGTCGAGTCATACAATGCGATACCATACAATAATGAAAATGAATAAACTTCGTCTACCTGCACTAATGTAGACAAATGTTAATAGTGAATAAAAGAAGGCAGATTCAAAGAATACATTTTAGATCATTCAATTTATATAAATTATAAAAATTAAGCAAAATCAAATTGTACTAGGCAGATAAGCATACATGGGTGGCAAAAGTATAAGACAAGAAAGAAGAGGTCAAGATAGTAGTTGGAGGTGGGGGTGTTTAGTCCTAATTATGAAAGGACAGCTTCTGGGGTCGTACTGATATATTATTTATTAAACTGACGGGTTACATGAGCATCCTCTTTATAGTATTTTATTATGAGAATACATATACGTTTATGCCCTTTGTATACTTCTTAATTCACAATGTGCTCCAGAAGTGTGACCTGCAGGCTGATTTGGGAACCATTGTTGTGATCAAACTACAAGAGCAGCAAAACCAGGATAGTTTGTTTCCTCAGTAACTTGAATCCTGAACATCTGATTCCTTTATACTCTATTTGATTATGCTAATGATGAAGATGACTGGTGAATATGTGTCTACTACCAATACACAAAGCTATTTTTCCTGGGAAGTTCAGTTAAGTCTATTATTCATCGAATAACATAATCCATATAAATTAACAAAGAGCTTGCTAGTTAACAGCAAAAAATATTGACATTTTGTGAGCAGATGAATGAAACATACACAAAAGGATACAGCCATTTCTTAGCAAGTTCTATCATTAAAATGCCCCTCGATAAGAGGCAATGAATGTGGCCACAGACACTGTATAATTATTGCTTTGAAATAAGTCACTTTTCAATACTCAATTCACTTCTATATTCAAGGATATTACTCTGCACAGGTTGGCTGAGTAAAGTGACTCGGAACAGATGGAATATATTTTTCTTGTTGTATTTCTGGGTGTACGCGAATACTCTTTTTCATATAAATTAGCTTTATACGTGAATAGGTGGCAAGTTTTATTAGCTACATTTTGTACTGAGGAAATTAAAACGCATCCAGGTTAAATAACTCGCCCAAGGTCACACAGCTAGCTGACGAAGCAGAAAGCTCAGGATGTGAAGTCAAACTTGATGCCATTGGGGATCTTCCTTCTCCACTCTTATGACATGGGGATGACTACTTCTCATATGGACACCATCCACCTACACGGGGATGTGCACACTCATATACACACACTTTGACATCTCCCTCTCTATCTCTTTCCCTACTTTCACTCTAGAAAAACAGGCAGAGAAACAGAGGTCCTTACTATATAGAGATGTGTACCAGAATTCCTCTCCCCTTTAGTTACCACTTCAGGTAATGATTTCACAAAACACTTCAGGAAGGCACTTACAAATCAGAGCAGGGACAGATTTCCTCACAAGAAAGCATTTTACACTGTCACAGTGATAGAGCAAACAATAGTAATAATAAATGCTTTCAGTTAGATGGAAGCTCAGATAAAATGTTTTGCTTATCTGGAAAAAGCTGTCTATTCTCACCAGTTACATCTTTATAGTTTGTTCTTTTGCTATCAAATGAGAACAAAGAGGAAATGGGGAGAAGGAGGAAGCAGGAGAGAGAAGAAAATGCACTGACTCAACACCCCAAGTCTTAAGTAGCTAAACTAGGTTAAACATAAAGCTTCTTTCAATTGACAAAGACATACCTGGGCTGCTGGGTAAATGGTTCATATATCAAATATTTTCACTTCCTACCTCAAAATATTCTTATCATCCCAAAGGTGATATTATTCCAAAATATTCTTATCACTTCATAGCTGCCCTGGAGGTGGACCCCACTAGCTATGGTAGTCACACCAAGTAAACCTAAAAGAAGGATTTTCAGCTACTAAAGACTGCTGGGCAGAGTTCTGAAGTGTGGGAGTCAGGGGGCAACTTTCTTTAATAGAGCTCCCCTGATTTAGCGATGGAGATTTGGAGATTGGAAGGGTCCTCATTAGTGTACCCTCCAGGAACTGTTCCATTCACTCTTATACTTTTCCTGCGAGACTTCAACCTGCTCCTGAATTTCTCTCTAGAATTAGAATATATAAAGTCATGGTCTAACCTGTCTTTCTAACAATGCAACACCGTGGGACAGGATTTAATTCTAGAAAATTTCACAGGTGATGAAAATGTCCAGTTTCATGACCCAGAAGATGGCAGGAGACTGTCTCTACTGTTAAATTCCCCTCCCTCAAAGACACATGAGGGCAATAACAGAATCTAATAATAATTATTAAAACAACAATAAAAAACACAGAGGTGGAAACCTGAGCTTTTTTTGAGACTGGAAGCTGAAACACATGTATGAAATAGCCTCCATCAATGCCTGAAGGCTAACTTACAAACAGATCCTGTTGGACAAGAAATTACTGTACATGTTTCTGACCAAGGGCTGCAGTTTTACAAGCCTTCAGATAAAAAATGCTCTATAAATTTGGCAAGTTTCTTATTATCATAAAGAAGTGGGAGTCTAGCTATAACTTAGCAACCTACACAACAGCTACTTCAGGCAAAGATGGGCTTTGGGGTTGAAGTTGCACTTAGAACAGGGGTCAAGATAAGGGCTTTTAAAATTAGGAGTGCAAAGACTGGAAGGAGTTCTTCTGCTTTTGGTATTTATTTCTTGGAACAAATTTCTAATCCTTCACCAAAGCCCTGTATTGAGATCAGGGTCAATCAAGATGAAAGGGAGAAAGCGGAGGAAGAGGAACAAAAGAACTTCAACTTCAGGATTCCTGGTCCACAGAGAAAACATAAACAGGATGGGTCTGTATGTTTGATTTTGTGTTGCGTGGATGTTGGAGGGAGCATTAGGAGCCTAAGTACAACAATGGCCTGCTCCTTTTCGGTGGGCTAAGTCAAGTCTACTAGCTATGGGGGCCATTTCTCTTCTTAGAAGCAGCAGTTTTTTTAGCTCATACTTTGGTTTTGGCACAGTTACATGCCACTCTTTTGTGTGCGGCTGAAGGAAGTAGTGAAAGGGTTACTTATATAGCCCATACCATCCTAACCCACACCACCTAAACAAATTCCTGAAAATGTATGACATTTCACCTCCTGCTCTGCTCCTTATCAGATCTGCCCAAGCTTCTGAACAGATCTGACTGGCATGACTTTTTATTTTTAATTATTACTGCACATGTTAAGGAACCCAGGGCCTTGCACATGTTAGGCAAGCACTTTTCCATTGAGCTATATCCTCAGCCCTAACTAAAAATTTTTAAGAGAAAAAGAAAAGAAAGTCCATGTTTTGGGTAATGGCTGCCTTATTCTTATTCATGGATAAGAAAAGTTACTCAGAACACAAATTGTATGATTGATTGTAGAGAGATACGTGCTTAAAAAGGGCAAGAAGACATCTGAGGAAGATTCCTCAACTGGCTCCCAATGTGTAGTGAAACAAAACTCTTCTTGACACCTTTTCTCTCTGGTCAAACATTTTTTGTGCAATTGTTTCAGCCTCCTTTTAATGCTCTTTTGGAAAATGGACATACAGAATCCACTGAAAGCTGTGGACCATTGTCCTGGACACACACACATGCACACTTTTACATACAATTTCAGTGAATTCCTAGATTTGTTAGAATCCACATATAGAAGCTCCTCAGGAGTCTCTGGACCTAATGTTAGGAAATTTGGTCTAGGACAGAAAACCAGTTAATATTTATAGAATGTTCATATATGCCACACAATATTGTAAGTGTTAAACTTCCTTTTTTTCTCCTCCTCCTCCTTCTTCCTCTTTTTTCCTCTTCTTTCCTCCCTCCCTCCTTCCCTCTCTTCCCTCACCTGTCTCTGTCAGTGATGGGGATTGCACCCATGGCCTTGCACATGCTTGGTAAGCATTATAACACTGAGCTACTTTTTTCAGTTAGTCATAACAACCCCATGGGATAGGTGCTACTGTTTTCTGTTTTACTGGCAAGAAAAGAGTGGCAGAGATTGTCACTTCCCCTAGAAAAATAGCTTGTAAACGGACAGAGCTAGTGTTCTGACTTTGGAAGGCTCTTCTTTTAGCCACTAAATTCATAGATGTGAAATAAAACAAATGAAAGCTATTTTTAAGAATTGAATGTGGCTACAAAGACCATAGTCCCACTATCTTTCTCTTTTTTTTAGTGGGGAGATGTGTTTAATTTGCCTCTCTAGAAATCTGAGAAAGCAGAAATGATATGGCACTAGCTGGAGGGGAAATGCTTTGCTAAGTATCTCGCACCTGCACCTGCTACTATTATTCATGGCACAATTGAAAGACAATCTAGTTAGGCTCTCTACTTGGCTTCCAAAGAGTAGGCCTTTGGCAATGATATTAACCCCTGAGCTTTTAAAAGATTAGTTCCACAGTTACAAACATAAATATTTATTGGGGTGAAGGAAAATTGTGTAGACACGAGACAGGCTGTTATAAGGCAGTGTGTGTGTGGGGTGGGCTGACCAAGTAGAAAGTGGATGTCTCCTCTCAAGACAATCATATTCAACAACAACAACAACAACAAAAACAAAAACAAAAAAAAAATGAAAGCCAAACAAAAGACATTCAGCTTGTGACCTCTGTAAAGATTGCTCCCTTTCCACTCTCCAGGTATTTCCAAGGCAGGAGTCCAGGACGCAGAGAATGTAGTCTTAAGTAGGGGATACAAATTGTGCCGTGTGACACTGTCGTGATTTCTATTTTGTCAAAACCATGCTTTTATTCAGTAACCAACCGAACAGTAGCTCAATAGTACAAAGATACAGGCATACGAGAGGAAAAACTATCAGGCATCACATACCTCATACACAGGGAGCATTCAAGGTCAGAGGCGTCAAAAGATGCAAGTGGAATATTGAGAGCAGCTTTGGCCCCCTGATCAGTGGGAAGATCTGTGATTTAGAAAGCAATAAGTCAGAGCTGAACAAACCTTGGTTTCACAAATAGTACTTCTGAGACACACACCCCCAAAAATCACTTTCCAATTTGCCACACTTGCCACCTCCCCAACAGTTTATTTAGTGGCCACTGGAGCCACTGAGAATGGGATGAGGTTTCCAGCAGTTCCCCATAGAGAAGGGCAAGCCAGGCACATTCCAGGAGCCCTGGGGAGTTCTTTGGAATATGACAGGCACCTCACTCTCAAACAGCAGGAACAGCAGCGGCAGCAGCAATTCCTGCAATTTGAAGGCCTGCAGCAGGCCTTCAAAGCCAGGATTGAATCTTGGCACTGCTAACTTCTGCTGAGAAGATCTCAAGTTACAGCTACTGCTTCTCAGATGCCTACCTAGGGGAGTACAACTGGGTAAGGCCTGACCACATGTCCCCATTCTATATTTCTGGACTGGGATGAGGATGGAGAGTGGGCCTGGAAGGAAGAGAGACTGTCAAAGGCATGGGATGTCATGACTTAATACTGTGCTGGACCTTGTGCCTTGGCTTCCTGTGATAATTAACACTGAGTGCTTACAGTGTACAAGGTCCCATGCGTGATCTCACAGAAACTTCACAGCAATTCCTGATGTGGCACAGCTGGGAACACCAAAGCTGGGCCACACACCTAGAGCCAGAGGGGCCTTCAAATAGAGGGGAACTTGGTGAGCCCACGCATCTCCTCTAAACCACTTTCTCCTTGGGTAGAGTCATTACCTTGCTTGTACGCTTTATTAAACACCTCTGTGTCTTCTCGGAGTTCAATTTGGCAATGTTTCCTTTTCTTTTCCTGGCATTTGCCAGACTTGACAGACGCAGTATCTGGAGAGGCAGTGTCCTGCTTCTCCTCTTCTTCCTCCTGTTCTTTCATGTTGTCTTGCTGACCATCTGCCCGTACTTTAGCAGAGTTCATTAGTTTGCTACCATCCCTGCTGGCTGATGCTTCCTTCTGACTAGAACAATGCGGGAGCTCTGGATTTTCCTAGATGAAGAAAGAGCTCTATCAGATTCTGCATAGGATCAATATTCTACACAAAGGTGACAAAGAGAAAAATACATAACCTTGATCCTCATTACTGGTCACTTAGTGGACACATAGCTCAACTAAGGGGCAGTCATAAGGTTTATTCCCACTTCCAGTCCACACAGCATCTGCAGCAAAGGCCTGGCCAGTTTGGGCAGAGTTAGGGAAGTTCCCTAGGCTAGAAGGAAAGGCACATAGCAGGAGACACACCCTGGGCAGGGGGAAAATGCAAGGGAAAGCCCTCCTCACCCTCCTATCCAAATCATTCACCGGCAACACCTTTAGGGAAACCAAGGCATGCAATGAGGGTAGGTACTGTCCCTCAATGCTTCTTGCCCTGAAGGCCATTCATAGCCATCTGCAATTTCAAAACCCCAAATCCTACAGGATTTTTGCTAATGCTTTGGTCCTGGTCTGTTTACAGGCCTGCCAAATCACCTCAGTCCCAGAGCTGTATGTTATACTGATTGAATGAAGAAGGGTCAACCTATTCCTTTTACTAGATCTTAGGTTAAAAGTCTCAAAAGAGACAGAATCATCTGGCAAAACAAATCATACATCTCTAGTCTTTTAAAGAATTTCTAAGAGAGGAATATTTGAAAATGGATTTAGAAAGAAATATTATGACAATATGTTTATGTAGATTTACCTGGAAAATCTTTCTATACAGTAAGACCCCGACTTACAAATATTCCACTTGTGAACTTTCAGAGGTGTACTGTATACGACTCACTTTGTCAGCTTACAAATAAACCCAACCTATGAACAGTTCTCCCAGAACAGAACTCATTTGTAAATCGGGAACATACTGTAATCTAAATCCATAGCCCATAGGTCAATATGTTCATCTTACTGCTCCTCCAATCACTACCAAAAAATTGCTGCCATACACACATGAAAAGGGGAGCATACCATTTGGAGAAAACAGTGAAGAAGGAGAAATAGGATGTGACCTTTCTCAATCTAACCTGGGGAGTTCAGGGTTCTCCCAATACTATAGCAAAACCCTGACTTTCTATGAATCCAAGGCATTGTCTGCACAAGAGTGTGCTGACTTGCGAAAGGAAGTCAGGTGGAAATCCAGCCTCTGTTCCTCCTCTGGTTCACTTTGGAGAGCCAAGGGTGTTAGTTTTTCTTCTTTTCAGAGTTAGCTGAAAGGAGAAGTGACTCCAAGCACTTGGATTCAGTACATATAAAATTCACAATCATGTAAAATTGACCACTGGGAGGTCTAGGGATTTAGCTCAGTGGTTCTGCCGCCTGCCTCGCAAGTGCAAGGGTCCAAGTTTGATCCCCAGTACCAATAAT